ACAAAATTTTATTTTTTTTTTCCGATAATTTGACATCTCTTCTTATGCTGTATCACTTGTAAGTCGTTTCATATTGATTACTAGTACACAAGGAAATAAATAGCTCGTTAAAGTTGCCGCTATTTGAGAAATAGCTTTTTTTGGCAGCGTGCCACTATTTGTATTCATGTGCAATTTAGCCGCTAAATCCCGCTAAATCTCGTTATAGCTCCGCTATAGCTACAGTGCTATAAACGTTTTAGCCCGCTATTTAAAACCTTGCTAGTACAACACCCGTGTATTACACGGGTACTTTTAAAAAAATTATTCTTAAATTTTAAAATTAATGAGAAAACTATATTAAATTTAGTTTACTTTTTTTACAAAAAAAATAAAATAAATTACTATATAATTTAGAAGATGTGTTACTTATGACTTACATGTGTTATATTATATTAGTTTTTATAACTTATATCATATAACTACTTGAAATATAAATTTACTAGTTGATAAATAATTTTATTTTTCTAATTAATATTTAAAATAATTTTATTATTGTTATAAAGATAAATATAAATTATTTTTTTATACATACAATATGGATGTTAAATCGAAGCCCATCAAAAAAAGATTAATTTGATATATTACACATGTAAAACTGATAAAAAATACAAAAGTTATTAACTTTTAAAATATATATTATAATAAGGAATGATATTAAAATAAAATTAATACATGTAACATGACCATAAATAATCAACATATTTATGGTTATCTGAATCTAATTATTTTTTGTTTGGAATTGAATTAAAATTTACCCAAGCCTAATAACGAAGCATGTAATTTTGCCACATAGGATTCCGAAGCACCAGAAGCAGCTAACCACGTAGGCTCAGCGCGTTCTGTATTAATATACAGGGAGGGGATACAGAGTAAATTGCCTAATTTATAGTCTAGTGGGCTACTCCTTCCATCACCAATTGATCATGAGACGAAACTTCTTCACAATTGTGCACATAGGCTCACTTGTGCTCTAGTCCAAGCCTAGAGCAGATCGGGTAGAGATATATAGATCTAGGCCCGAGTTGCCCTGATTCTGATACCATGTAAAAACTAGAGGGAAGAGGGTGCGGTCCTACGCAGGTGAAACGTACCCGACCTGCTCTGTGCTTGGGCTTATGAATGACTCACGAGTGAGTGGGCATGTTGGAATATCACTTGTGAATTGTCTCACATTGATTCTATAGGGTAAAGAGGCCTAACTTATGCTTAGTGGGTTACCCTTCCATCACCAATTGACTCTGGAATGAAACCTCATTATGGTGCACATAGATTCACTCTCTTATGGTGGAAACAAATACCGAACGTACCCATGAAACTTAGAAAAAAAAAAAAATCAAACTTCCACAAGTGGAGAATACTAACTCTCAAAACGGGAGAATAGAACATCAAAGACAAAACAAACACACTAGATACTCCTGGTCGGGCGGAGAGAACTGCCACCAATCGAAACGACACACGAGTCAATTAACCAAAGGACAAGTAACCGGCGCTTTGCAGGTACCGGCGAACTCACACGATATCTTGGAGTAGAAGAATAATATGAATATTGAATGTAACAGGATATTAATGAAGTCTTACCTTCCAACTGTAAAATTTACCCTTTATATAGTGCTTGACTGTGCGATCTTCCTTCGGAGCCGTACGTCCCTCAAATCCCGTTGACCGAGTAATCAACACCTGATAATTCAGGGTTTGAAGCTTGGTCCCTCGGACCGATTAACTCTCGGTCGAGCACCCTTTCTCCGGTCGATGCTAGGGTTCGAGTTCGTCCCTGGTTGGTACTTATGGTCAAGGGTCCAGGGTCGACCCTCGGATATTTTTTACTCAGTTTTACCCTTGGACTTTATTCCACCCCGGCTTCTTCGGAATTTATCGCGTTAGGTCGAGTTGGTGTAGTTTGTGTGGTTTGTGAATATCAAAAAGAAGATTTAAGGAGAATGAAAAAAACGAAACAAAAATTAAAGTCGATGCACGTAATAAATTACGTTCTCCTTAAGACGAAATTGCCCCGTAAAATATCCACAATTAACGGCAAACACCTCCAAGATACGACTTTCGACTTGTATACAGTGGTACTTCAAATAAACAAGCCTTCGACGAACAGTACTATTGTTTGGAACTCTCAAGACTCAATGAAAAAAAAAAAATCAAAGAACACAATATGCTATATGATCTTTGAAAAATAATGCTAGAGCTCTCTAATTTCAATGTTATGAATGATTTCATGTATGTGAGTATTTATAGATGTAGGAGAACACCTCCAAGAGGTTTAAGTGTCAATAGACACCTTTTGGGACGTGTCCGAACGAGAACGGATGCATCTAGTGGCCAAAAGATACCTTATGGTCATCAAAGGTTGCGACCATTTGATTTCCGCAGCCAGTTGCGCGCCCGTGCGCCGCAGGAACGTACGAGCTCATACGGACTTGGAATTGAGTTCCGATTTTTCCTACTTGTCCCCAACGAGCCCTTCTACAGTTTTAGCGTACATAACGCATAATTATGGCTCGTTTAGTTTGCCCAAACATTTATCAAAATATAATATTTTACGAATCCAATAATTTGAGTTACTTAAACTCATTGATTCAACTTTACATTTCCCACATATACAACTTAGAATTAATTTCTCATTCAATGGTTTTGAGAATTTCATAAGTCTTCCACTCACAAAGAATAGAACCGTAAAATCGGTACAAAACCAATTTTTCTTACAATTGGTACTAACATCCCTATTAACCATAAACTCAAAATTAACTCATAAATTATCAACCAACTTATCACATATCATTTGAGTTATTGACTAGTTTACCAAACATAATGTAACTCAAAATGGATTTGAAATTGAAGAGCGACCCTTGGAGGCTCCTTTATACTTACCAAATTCCATTTTATCCAATTATCCAAACACAATTAAAACAACAAAGCTCAATAAATAACCCCCATAAAGCCATCTGGAAAATTCGATGCTGTTCTTAAGGGCAGTGCAATCGGAGTCGTTGATTTTCACACACACAATAAATCAACGGTCCGTAGAGCTGCACTGCACTGCGGTCGAATTCTCCCTCTTAAC